TTATTTTGTCATATCCTGACCTGTCTGACGTCTCCCTTCACCCACTTTTCTGTTGTCCGCCCCCTTGTAATTGGTTCCCTCTTTCCAACCTATATGCGGATCATTGTAATCGGTTCCCTCCCCCCATCTTCCCCCTCCCCTTATGACATTACTACTCCCATTGTTACTCCTGAGGGGTTGTCTGTCCTGGATTGCCTGTCAGGAGCGCTTCGGCAGCACATACACTAGAATGGGAACGATACAGAGAAGATTAGCATGGCCCCTGTGCAAGGATGACACGCAAATTCGTGAAGTGTTCCATATCTTTTAAAAAAAGAACTCTTATCTGTACCTGTGCACATGTTCTGGTCTGGCTTGGTTTGTAAGGTAGAATTGGGGTCATGATAGTTGGTGGGGGGGGGAGGAATCATTAAAGAACTAGAGGAAAGTTGTATGTTTTGTTGGTTCTGTGTTGCACCCTGCCTGGCTCGTCCCTTCCTTGTGACCCTTCTATGAGGGGAGGTATTAGAGTTTAATGGTCACTAATTTTGTCAAATGTACTGGTGCTTTAGCTACAATATTGTGGTAATTAATATTTATGAGCTTAAGCCAGTAAGTTATTTTAGAAAGAAGCCATCATAAAGGGAAAGGTTTTATTTTATTTTATTTATTTATTACGCAGTGTCATTACGGACATGTTTGCTTTAGTGAATACGTTGCCACAAGACGCTCACACTCTGGGTGAAAATTATTTTTTTACCTATGATCCTGTGTGAGACAACCATTTGACGGTGGTGGTGGAAGAGCCACAAAAAGTCACTCGAATAGAGGTGCTGACAGGCTCTGCTGAAGTTGGGCCACACCATCTCCAGCTGGGACCAATTGAGCTGGGCTATGACCCCATGGGGGAGCCCCGAGACTGCGTTCTTCGCTATGTTCTGCAAGAAGAAGATTCTGTGAAGAAGTTGAGCGGTTACGCCTCCTGGTGTTGGGCTCCGAGCAGTCCTAGATCATGATTCGGAAGATCAAAGTTTGGATGGCTTCTGGTTAGAAGACGTGGGTCGGGATTCTGGAAGGATCCAGTTTGGGAATGGAATCAGTCATGTTGACAAGAATTAAAACTAGAAATTGTTCAAGCACTGCTCATTCTTAGTAAGGTATGATGATGTTATAGGATTGATATAATTAATAAAGAAATATAATATATGATTCAAACTGGGATACCTTCAGGAGGGACGGGGACTGCTGGGATTGCACTGAAACGACAGATAAAAACAGAAGTGTCCTGGAAACGCTTAGCTGTACGGTCGGTCATCCTGGCTCCGGGTTGTTATTTTATTATTTTTTTCCTAGGATTCATTTTTTTTTAATTTAAATTTTCTAGATTTGTATGACTTTTAGGATTTCCCCCTTAACTTTACAACAAAACTTTTCCAATTTAACATTATTTAAAAAAAATCTTTTTATTGGAGGCTCGTACATCTCTTATCACAATCCATACGGTACATCCATCCATTGTGTCAAGCACATTTGTACATACATTTGTACATCATCATTTTCAAAACATTTTCTTTCTACTTTAGCACTTGGTATCAGTTCATTTCCCCCTCCCTCATGAACCCTTGTTAATTTATAATTTTTTTTTCATGTCTTACACCGACCATTGTCTCCCTTCATCCACTTTTCTGTTGTTAGTCCCCCTGGGAGAGGGTTATATGTCAATCATTGTGGTAGGTTCCCCCTGGGAAAAAATTTTTTGGAAAGCTTCCACCTAGTTAATAATATTGTAACTCAACATAGGTCTTATTTATACTTGTATAAATAATTATATGTAAGCAATATATTTCTCAAATTCTTTTAAGAATAAAATTGATAATAAACATGGATGATTCTTGTCTAGTAGAGGCGGTCCACGAGGTAGGATGTGTGTGACAATGACCTGACCCTGTGTGTGTGATACCACTGCCCAGTCCTGCATCATCCCCACAATCATTGCTACACCTGTGCCCATTGTTGCAGCCACTGTGTCATTCCATCTCAGTGAAGGCTTTCCTCTTTATTGCGGACTCTTCTTCACCAAGCACGATGTCCTTCTCCAAGGACTCGTCCCTTCTGGTAGATCACATGTCCAAAATATGTACGCTGCAGGAGCATGCTGGCTCCACTTCTTCCATCTGAGGTTTGCTCATTCTTCTGGCAGTCCCTGGTGCAGTATATTCGATGTTCTTTGCCAACACCTTAATTCAAAGGCACCACTTCTTCAGTCTTCTTTATTGCCAAGCTTTTGTAGTCAAATGAGGCAACTGAAAAAAACCAAAGCTTAAAAAAAAAAAAGACCAAAGCTTGGGTGGGGAGCACTGTAGTCCTCAATGTGACACCTTTGCTTTCAACACTTTTGAGATCTTACTTAGCATTTTTAGACTGTGATTCAGAATATCTGGACTGGAAAGGCAAACTCTCAGGCAGGGGGTTCCCCTCTAATCCCGAGCTGTGCTCTTCATATAAGTCGAGCTTCTCAGATTATTTGTCCAGTATAGGCACAGAGTAAGTATGGTGAAAGTATGCACATTTCCCCCCATTTTAAGCCACGCAGTATTCCCTTGTGCTGTTGGAATGACCGCCTCTTGATCTATGTACAGGTTTTACTTGGGCACAATTAAGTGTTCTGGAATTCCCATTCTTGGCAATGGTACTCATAATTTGTCACGATCCACACAAAAGCCTTTGCATAGTCAATAAAACTCAGCTAGCCATCTTTTTGGCATCCTCTGCTCTTAGACAAGAGCTATCTGACATCAGCAGTGATATCACTCATTCCACCTCCTCTTCTGAATCCATGTTGCATTTCTGGAAGTTCCCTGTTGATGCATTGCTGCAACCATTTTGATATTCAGCATAATTGTACACGTGTGTAACACTAAGGACATTTTGGATCATTTCTGCATGCTGTTGAATCACCTTTGGAGTGGGCACAAACATGGATCTGTTTCTGTTCTTCAAATGTATTGCCCTATAGACAAGTGATCATTTACAGTGTTGAGTTCATGTGTGCAGACCTGCTGCTTTGTATTCTGCCAATTTGGGAGCCTTGTGTTTGGGCAGTGCTCTCAATGCAGCGGGGACAGCCTTCCTTTAGAACCATTGATTCTTCAATCTAGGCTACTTCCTCCACTGGGTGAATGTTGATCAGTTCTTTGTGCAACAGCAGTGTGCACATTCAGCTTCTTTTGATGATTCACGAATCATCCGTTATTTCACCCATAGAATCCTATAGTATTGCACCTTGAGGTGGGAATTTCTCTTCTTCGGTTCTTTCAGCTTGTGAATGCTGAGCATACTTTCCATTTTGGTTGTTTCACACTTTACGTACTCCCTCTCCCCCCCCCCACACCTTTATTTACTTAATGGCAGGAGTGCTAGTTACAAAATCTCCTGTCCACCTGGGGATACTAAGAGTGAATGGGTGGAGTCTAGACTATCAGTCAGGACCAGCCTGCTGATGTCTCCTTGTGGGTGTGACCTTCTCATGAGAATTCTGGGAACTTCCTCTTTCTCCTTGGAGGCAGGCCACACTCTTTCTCCTTCACCTTACTGTGGACAAGCCACATGGAACCATGCTGATGACAGACAGAGCCCTGGAGCTGGAGGAGCCACGTGGAGACTTTCGCCAGGACTGAGATGCTTTCACTGCCACTGGATCCACAAGACTTTTCACCCACTGGCCTGTGATCTTCCTGCATTCAGCATCATTGCATGTACTGCGTGAGTCTGAAGAGGAATTTATAGACTAATATTGGAAATATGGGCTAATATCGGACTTACAGATTTAATCTGGACTGGGATGTTTTCTCAATATAATTGTGGCTAAGTGAGTCTGAAGAGGGACTTAAGGACTAGTATTGGATTTATGGACTAGGATGTTTGCTTCTTGATATAAAGTTCTCTCTCGTGTTTCAAGGCAGCGCTGACCCTCCAGAAAAAACATAATGAGCAAGGCTCATCCACCCGAGTTGAAAAAATTTATGGACAAGAAGTTATTATTGAAATTAAATGGTGGCAGGCATGTCCAAGGGATACTTTGGGGATTTGATCCCTTTATGAATCTTGTGATAGATGAATGTGTGGAGTTGGCAACAAGTGGACAACAGAACAATATTGGAATGGTGGTGATAAGAGGCAATAGTATCATCATGTTAGAAGCCTTGGAGCGAGTATGATAGCTATGTTCAACAGTCTATCTACATCAGTTGTTTCTACGCACCCTGCTTTACTACAGTGTAAAAATGAGGCTATGTACATTTTTCACGTTCAATTTTTTTTTTTGTTAAATAAACTTTTATAATAGTAAAAAAAAAGTTCTCTCTTTTTGGATATAAAGCTCTCTTACACATATATAAGCATCACTGGATTTATTAATCTAGTCAATCACATTATGGTACCTTGGGAGGGGGATACTAAAGAAATAAACCAGGAAGATGGAGAGCAGATGGCTGTTTGATCACTGCCTTGTGGTAGTTTTCCTTTGGCTAGCCAGAGGTGAGATGTGGCTACATCGTTTGCTTGATTGTTTCTAGCAAAGATATGGGGAATGAAGGTTTTGGTTCTTAGAAGTTGTTTTTGGCAATTCCTGTCTGAAATGGCAAAAATGCATGTGATAAATGAAAAATTTGAGCTCAGGGTGAAATTGCCCCTTGAACTCCTCTGAGACCATGCTGTTTGGTGAAATGGCTGACAGACGGCTTAGCCCTGGTTTGACGCAGCCAGAAGCAAAAGGTCATATTACATACAAATGGGATAGCTTAGAGAAGGATTGAATTCGACTGTTTTAAGAATGTGTTCAGATCTGGCTGTTCTAGGATTATGATTTCCCCCCCAACATATTGATATGTGTGATAAAAATGATATTTGGGAAGTATGAAAATAGTTTGTAAGCCCACTGCCTCCAGCAGACATTCAATTAGATCTTTAAATGCGTCTAAGACATGTCTGCAAAGAAGGCTCTGAAAATATAAACCCTACCCAGTGCCTTGAGTGCTCTGGGCATTTGCATTTGAAAGGACTTGCAATGACAGCTGTTGGCAGACTGAAGAAAAAGGAGCCATTTTGGCCCTTTGAATTTTGAACTGGAGGTTTGCTCCTGAACCTGCAAAAACCTGGAGCCATGAAGATATTCTCCTCTCTAGGACTGAATGTTAAAGGAAGCCTGTGGGCAGCCTGTACTAGAATTATGTTAATCTTTTCTACCCACTTGTTCAGTGGGAGAAAAACAGCAATAGAGAGACGGGTTAAGTCTGGCCCCTGGAACCCATGGACCTGGTTCACAGGGACTAGAGAAGATAAGAGCGAGTTGGCAGGTCTGAAGTTTAAAGAGTTGTGCGGTACCTGATCCTATGGCATGCCCTAGCCCAACGGGGAATAGGGGTTGTTGAAAATTTGTGATGAGGCCCATGGTCAAAAGGCAATGGGACCCTGGTGAGGCTAAGAGAGGTGGCCCACATTGAGGTGACCGGAACCCAACCAGATGGAGATAAAATTCTTGGGTCTGAATTAGTGGATATACTACTGCTGACTTTATGGGCAACCTGTCCTGATTTGACTTTGCTTATGGATGCAGACTCACAGGTTCGAACTGGAATGAAGCTTCTTCACATCAAAGAACATGCTTGTCTCCTCAGAGCACTGGGCTGATTGATACAGGTAGTAAATTGGATACCCAAAATGGGGTGGGGGTGGGGACACAGGAAGTGGGTGGCTAACAAACTCTCATGGGTGGGGGAATATGTTGATAGGATTATAAGATGGTGGAAGTGTTCACAAAACTGCAGTTAAAGTATAGACTATTTTTGTTTCATTCACTTATACAGTATTGTTTAAACGAGGGTGTCACATTTTGAGTTGTATGCATCTTAGCTTAATTCTACGGCACAAAAGTGATTTTATTGTCCTTGTTTTAAAAAATTATATATGGCTAAAGAATTGTATACAGGTGTCAAGTTGACAAGCAGTAGTCTATGGTAGTTACATTTCCTTTCAACTTGAAGCTATAAAATGTAGGGGTAGAGTCTAGCCTGTCAATCAAGTCACAGCCTGATGGTACTTCTCTGTGGGTATGGCCTTCTCATAAGGTGGGTCTTGGGCACCTCCCCCGTCTGCCTTCACCTTCCTGTTGGTGAGCCACACTGAGACCTTCCAGAGGCCTGGATCCACAAGACTTTCCATCCACCGGTCTGTGATCTTCCTGCATTTTGCATCATTGCATGTGCTGCATGAGTCTGAAGAGGAATTATGGACTAGTGTTGGACTAATGGACCTGATCTGGACTGGGATGTTTGCCTGATGTATAATTACTTGACATAAAGCTCCCTCTTACGCGTTTATGCGTGTCACTGGATTTGTTTCTCTAGCCAACCCACAAGCCTAATGGGTAACAACTACAACACTAGGACTCCCTGGAGATGTCATTAGGAGGGATCAATTGCTTGGGAAGGATATCAATTTTTGTTTTGTGAAGCAGAGGGGCTCTTGATGGCATGGGACACTCTTGGTGAGGTAGACTAGCATAGTAATGAACTGGGAAATTTAAACAACCTAGTGATTAAGAGGGTGACGCAGGACTGGACACTGTTTTATTCTAAAAGGAAGGAAACCCTTAAAAAATGTTTGGAATTGGTGGTGGTGGGGGAGGGGGGGAAGGCAACAATGATGCTCTTAGGGATTATTAAAATATCAGTCCAGCCGCAAAGGTGAGGGGAGTGGAAGCAGGCAAGTACCATCTACGCTTGACTGGCAATCCAGGTGAGGGAAGTAGATGAAATCACACAGGAGACCTGAGCTGGCTCTAAGTATGGGTGCCAGGGCCGATCCAAGATCGCAGCAGCAGGAAAAGCTGGTGTCTTGTGACCTGCCACCATGGAAACCACTGCTTGGATCAGCAACGTCAATGGATAAGCTTCTAGAACAGGGTCAGTCTTTCGCTACTTCTTGCCCCGTAGCCATGGCTACCCCACGGTAACTTTCAGATTGTGGGTCGGGAGCAGGAGCCACAGGAAGGGTAATCTTTTGTGAAGCTTTTATGTGTGAAGGTCGTGGTGTGAGTGAAATTTCTTACTGTGGGTGAAAGCTACAGTTCTGGACGGCTGGGAGGGCAAGGGCTCTAGTCACCACAGGCCCACAACTCAAGTGAAGATGAGTCACAGGCCTAAATTCCTACAGCAAGGGTACCACAGGGAAGGAAACTCACACGACTTGTTTTATGCCAAAGACATAACAACAATCAGTATGCACACTATTTTCTTAAGATGAATTTTAATACACAGAAAAAAAATGCAAGATGACTTTATTAGTTTCAATGTTACCCCAAAATTTGTGGGCATGAATTCTTCTAACTCTGACCAGGAGAGTTTATATTTCGGTCCAATACACATGAGACAGTTTGATCAAGTCCAGCTTGACGTCACAAATTATAGAAATGAACAGAACTTATATAGAAAATCTGTTGTTTTTATAGATAATGGATTCCCCATTTTTTTTCTTAGCTAAGAGTTCATTCAGCTTGGGTTTCAAGAACCAGATGTGAGATTACACACCCCTTTTAAACAGATGGTCGCCCTTTCCAGCTTCACCTTAATCTTTATTGAAGATCATACAAAACTCCACAATAAATAATGAAGAGAGTACGCAAAAATCATTAGCCTCTGTTCGCAATAAAGAAAATACATATCAGTTCTGGACCAAAATCGTCCCATTGAAATACAAAAAGTGACCGGGAAGAATGACAGGATTTGCGGTGACGGCTTCTGGAGGGGAGAGCTGCCACACACCAGCCACTGCCAGCTCTCCTGGACGGTAAAGGCGGGCTGTGATTTGCCGATAACGACTATCTTCGGTACTTTAAAAAAATAGAAACTCTAAAAAAGCTTGTGAGTCACATACAAAAGCAGCTGTTGGAGACCAAGGCTGAAGACCAGACACCGTGGGAGGGTTTGTGAGCAGCACCCGCAGGCCCAGGGCTCCGCCTCTGGCAGCCCTTGACTTTGAGCAGGGCAGAAAGCAGACCTGGCTGGCTGTCCCACCTGCCATTTACGGTTAGGAAACTCAGCTGCAGGGACGGGGCTCCTGCAAGAGAAGTCTCAAGTCCTCAGAGGCACCGAGCGGTTACAAAAGTTAGCTAACCATCGAGGTCACAAGTTCCGGCGATATAGCAGGTCTCGAGTTGCCTTGTCAACCTTCTGCTGGTAGTCCTCCAGCTTGTCGAGTACTTTCTGAGATAACTGTGCAAGAGAGAGAGGAGGGACAGCATCACCAAACAGCTCCAGGAGAGGAACGGACAGGTGGCATTCACCTCTTTGAGTATCTGCTGTGGAAGCTGCTTCGCCTCACTGAGTCCCCAGTAAGTGAAGCTGGAGGGAGCCCTGGTGGCCCAGTGGTGAAGTGCTGTGTTGCTCACTGAAATGTGGGTGGTCACTGGGGTAGAAAGACGCAGCTGTCGGTTTCCGCAAAGGTTTACAGCCTGGGGAACCCTCCGGGGGCAGTGCTTCTCTGTCCTGCAGGCTCACCTGATGGCTCGGGGTCAGTAGTTTGCTCTGTAACTAGACAGCTAAAACTAGGCTTCTGTTGTAGTACCATAATCCTGCTTCCCTGCACCAGTATTTTTAATAAAGCATTATCACTAGTGCTTCCTCCACAACCATCCAGGCTGCAGCAGATTTAACTAGCCTTTAGTAGCCCAGTGAAAACACCGGGTTAGCAGTTTAAGTGTTTTAATTATTTAACGTCTGACTTAACCTCACTTGAGTAGACCCATTCCGCAGAACTAATTTTTACAGCTGTCTTGCTTCTGCCTATCAGTTTGGAAGACAAACACAGACAAGTATTGAGAGTCACTGACTAGTTTAGAAACATCTTCTCTAAGTGTGACGAGAAGGCTCAGGAAACACGCCACCCAGGTCTACCTGAGAAATAAGTAAGCCACCACACTATAATGAGGTACTTTGAACAGCTACTCTATGTGTGCCCAGGGCAATGTGGCTGTATCTGCCGGGTCCCAGTAGGATAACCTATTATAATAATAATAATAACAACAACCTATTATACCGCGTCTCCAGGAGCTGCGTACCCCGTTGTGCCCGTCTTACTCAATGATGGCCTAAGGAATGGACTGCAGCCCTTGTCTGGGCTGCCCACATGGGTCCTCATTAGCTGTGCTGAATAAATGAAGTTGTTTTAATTCTTTGCTCTATTTACAAAGGGTCTGGGGCAGCCTGCTTGGGGGCATCAATGGCTTTTGCCCTTCCCTGAGTTCCTGAGAGCTGAAGAGCAGGCAGTACGGTGTAGCTGCGGGGGGAGGGCCCAAGGCCCACGAGGAGGGTTACTCACTGCGATGTTGTGGTTGTTGGCACTATTCTCCCCCAGGGTATGGAGAAGCTGATCGATGGCGGAGTACGGGAGCCAGACCATCGGGGCTGTCGCAGACAGGGGAAACTAAAAGGAAAAATAAGTATTTCTTCTTTGGGAAAAACTCTTACAAACGTACCATTTCTGTATACTATGCAGTGCTGAAGGGGCTCTGCTGGTGGAGTGGGTCTGCGCTGGGCTGCTAACCTCAAAGTTCAAAGCCACCAGATGCTTTCTCCTCCTGAGAAGTTACAGGCTCAGCCCTAGCCCGGGCAGCCCTACCATGTCCTGGAGCCACTAGGAGTGGGCATTGTCTCGAGGGCAGTGAGTTTGGTTTTGGTTTTATGCCGTGTTAAAAATGACGACGAAACCATGGCACAGACCGACCTGGAGAACACTATCGGGGTGAAATTTGTCAATCACAAAAGGACAAATATCACATTAGAGGACTGTTTAACTTTCAGATCACCAGCACTGAAATCTGTTAATGATACACAGATGCAACAAAACTCCTTCAGATTGCTGGAAGAACGATACCGTTGCTAGTGTTTCGGAAGTGTCTCTGAGTTGAATTTGCGGGTCAGTCAGAACATAGGCATATGGCTCCTGCTGAGGCTGACTTTAGGGCAGGGACAGGCTCATAGCCTTTCTGATGGTTTAAACGCTGCACGTGCACTGTGATGAAGACTTGGCTAAGTCAGCACTGGGTCAACAGCTTCAGAGCGGGCAAATTTACATAATCATGAAGCAGCTTTATAATCCAAACTGACAGCAGCCAGCTGCCTGGCTCTGAATGTAGGTGCACCCCACAGTCCTCCAGCAATCCAACCTCAGGGAACAGGCTCCCCAAAGGACGCCCAGGCCTCTTCCACACTTGCCCCTCCAGGGCTTTCATTTGTACAATTTCCATTTCGGTTCCCGTGATGAACCACCCAAATCGAAAACATCCGTGATAGAACTGGTACGAAACATTCCAGCCCTGCTTGAAGGGCAAGGAGTTGTCTATAAATTAGACACTCACAACCTGGGGACGACCCTCACCTTACTTGATGTGTTAAGACATAGGCAAAAAACAATACTGATGTGATCTCCAAGATATGGCCCCTACCCTCCAGGGTTGGACGTGAACTCCTCACTCCTGTAAAATCAAAAGGGCAGCGCTGCTCCCAGGACAAAGGTCAGAGGAGGCAGGGAAACAGGAATCACAGGAGGAAGCGGGACAAATAAGGGTGCACTGAGGGGACTGCACTGGAAGAGCTGAAATCAGCACGCCTATGAATTGCTGCATGTGAAACTAGGACCCGCTCTGAAAGCCGTCATCTACTTCACAAAGCAAAGTTAAGAGAAACCAAAGACATTCTCATGATCGACCTCACCAGAAAGAGAGAGAGAAATGTCTGTATTGCCTACCTCAATTCCAAAGTACTGATGTCCCTTTCCCAAAACAGCATCCACATATTCTGAAACCAAATCCACAGCTTCTTCTAAAAGATCATAGTTCAAGTACAGCCGAAGCAACTCAGCAGCATCAACCTTCTGCAAAAAAGCAGGTGCGTGAGAACATCTGCCAATTCAGACCCTGCCGTTTACATTCCTCAGTCTAAGTACTGCGCTCCTTGCCTTTCTCCTCTGTCTCTTGGACCAAGAAGGGCTGGATCCCAAGAGTCCAGGAACCTTTGGAAGCCTCACCTGTCAAGAGGCTTTCTTTGCCAATTTTGTGATCAAATTTTAACTCCTCTCTACTCCAGTTTCCAAGTGTAAAAGTCAGCAAACACCCCCAGCCATGCTGAGTACCAAAGATACCATGTGTCCTCACCAATTCTCAGAAATTTATGGGTGGTGATCACAAAAGAAGTTTAAAAGAGCGGAGAGCAAATGTTTTGAGAATGATGATGGCAACAAATGTACAAATGTGCTTGACACAATGGATGTATGTATGGATTGTGATAAGAGTTATAGGAGCCCCCAATAAAATCATTAAAAAAAGAGAGAGCAAAAAAAGTTTAAAAGAATCATCAATATTGAATATTCAAAGTATTAATTCACTTGGGGTAAGTGAAAAGTGAATAAAGTCTCAGTTCAGAAGGGCTCTATTAGTTATCCTGTGTTAACTGTGTTTCCATATCCTACCTAATATGATCACAATCTTAACTTTCATCACCCTCTATACTTTCTAACTATAAAATAGTTAAAACAAGAGGCAAAACCCCCCACCTTTCCTGGTTTTGAGGTATGGATGTTGTTGTACTGCTGCTGGGCGACCTGGACTGGTCCCCTCTCACAGACCAACACTACCTGATCCTGCCTGGGTGAACTCTCCTTATGCCAGAGGTTCTCAACCTGTGGGTCACAACCCCTTTGGGGGTGGTGGGGTGTCAAACGACCCTTTCACAGGGGTCGCCCGATTCATAATAGCAGCAAAATGAGTTATGAAGTAACAACGGAAGTAATTTTATGGTTGGGGGTCATCACAACACAAGGAACTGTATGAAGGGGTCGTAACATGAGGAAGGCTGAGAACCACTGCGCTATTCTATCCATGCTTACCACTGTCACAACACGTGCGTTTCTTTTCTAAACAGGTGCCATTGACTTGGTTCTGACTCGCAGTACCCTACGCATAACGGAATGAGCTAGTGCTTGGTCCCGCGCCACATAGGGGTTATATTGGTGCCCACTGCAGCACCCATTGTGTCCATCTATCTCATTGAGGGCGTCTTCTCTTTTGCTGGAGCTCTACCTGACCAAGCACAACATGCTCTTGAGAGTTCTTAATCACTCTTGTGTACCAGAATCAACTGCGCAGCTTTAAAATACACTTTCCCCCCAAGTTTGAGTTCAGTAGGTCAGGGGCAGGTGGGCTTCAACAGCTGCAACATAAAGCTCTGATGGGGCTCAGATACCGCAGCCCTGAAATTTAAGTGTGTTATCAAAGTTAAATGAAGGATCTTATTAAAGTGTAGACCCCTCTCAGGTCGTATGACCCTAATGTCTGGGCTAGGTCAGGAATCAATATTTTGAACAATCCCACCACTCTGATCATTTTGATACAGGGGGTCCAAGAACCAGATTTTGACAAAACTGATTAGTATTTTAACTACTCTACCCATTTTTGTGAAATTTCCCGTTACTGTATACAATCAAGTATAAGCCAACCTGAGTATCAGCCAAGGCACTTAATTTTACCATTAAAAATGTGCTGAAAAACTCACCTTATACCCTAGTATATACGGTATCCAGACACACATGCAGCAGAGGCATAATCACAGTGAACATACAAGCAGGCATTAACTTAATCACTAACCCGTGGAACTTTAACTCTGTACTTAATACTAGCTTTGGCATAGGAACCCTGGTGTAGTGAGTGACATGCTGGATTGCTAACTTCAAGGTCAACAGGTTGAAACCACCAGCACATCTGTGGAGAAAGATGGTGCTCTCAACTACAGTCAAGACTGACCCTCTCAGAAACTCAAAGAGACAGCTCCAGTCTGTCCTCAAGGGGCTACAGGAGTTAAAAATCAACTCCACGGCAGCGCGTGAGGCACGGCATTTGAGTTCAATTGTTTCCTGTGTTTTTAGTTAAGATTAAGAAGCTGCCCAAAACATACAAATCAGTATGCTTCCATAAATTATCACTCAATTTTTCCTCTTTAATCATGTCATGAAATTATTCGGGATGACAACGACTACCACTTACCTTGTAGCTGTTTATGAGCCAGTTAGGCAGAGGCACTCCATGGGACAAGAGCTTGTTGATTACACAGTGGTGATACAAATTATTCTGGACTTGGTACCTGTCCAGGTAAGTTGATAATAGCCTCCATGCTTCGTCGGTAGCACTGGAAGAGGCATAAGGATTCATAGGTTTCAGATGCTTAACAGAAATTTGTCGTACCAGTTAACACATGAATTTACAAAGGGAAAGTTTCAGAAGCTCACAAGTAGATGGATAATAGGAACACAAGTCAAAAAAGTATTGCTACTCCGGTTAAAGTTCATACTCATATGAATTTACTCCAAATGTAAACATGTCTCTGTGGTGAGTGGATGGCAAGAGATAAGTTCTCTCAGTAACACACTTGTGCTAGTTTCATTAAGGTGCCTTAAAAAGAAAAAGTGAAGGGACTTGGGGAGGTCAGCTCCGAAGGTTATAACAGCTGTATCTGGGGATTCCAATGGGGGTGGGTAATCTCGACTGAAAAGACTTTCTCAAAGGACACTGGACTGTTAAAAGAAAACTGATAATAGTACCAGCAGGAAAAAGGCCAGGAAAGTGGACCCTGGACCCCTTACCTACAAATGCAAAGACAACTAACAAGCCCAAATTCATGAAGATGCTGGTGAAAGGAGACAATAATAACGAAAAGAAAAAAGTATCCAACTTATGTCAGAACCAGCTTCCAATCGAGCCAGTGGCATGGAATCCTATTACGAATTGGGGACTTCCTATAGTATTATAAACGAGATGGTTTGGAATTTCTCAAATGTCTCTACCACCAACCACTTATAACAACAATCCTGAAGAGGCGCAGGCCCAGCCAGTGCTTCGCTCTGCTGTACACTGAGGCCGCTGAGTCGGACTCAACAACAATCAGGTTTTAGTAAGCGGTTCTCAAGTGCCAGTCGAAATTGTTAGAAGACGCCTGAATTCTAAAACCCCACAACTCCAATGTCCTCAGCTCTATCACACAAAGCGCTGCTTGCAATCGCAAACAGGAAAGGTTACTGAGAGTGAGCGATGTCCGAGAAGGATTCCGAACAAAGTAAAGGACATCCGGCAGACACTGCCTGAGCTACACGAGGAGTATCCTGGAGAGGGTTCCCGAGAATGGAGGTTAGTGGGTGACCAGCGATCAGAGGACACTGTGACGGCAGCCAGTGGACGGAACGGCGGGAAAGGACCAACACGTTTGCTTGATGACGCACTAGCGAAAAAGTCTCGGAGGAGGGGGGATGTGGGAAAGGAGACTGAGAGACATTCCATAGGCAAAGTCGTCCTGGCTTAGACCATAAATTACATGGCGCCTCACTAATTTCAAACCCCCCCAGCTTGCCCTCAAACTTAGCAAAGCGAGAAAAAAAGTTGTGGGTGGGTGGGTAAGGGGGAGGGGGAGATCTTTGTATGACAGTACAATCAAGGAAAGAGGGCTGTAGCCCTGAGCCGGGAAAGTCCAGTTGAGGCTGGATGAAGACCAGGACTGTACCTAGACTCCTTGGTCGTGATGACGGACGAGAGCTGATTGGCTGCCAGCCAGGCCCAGGCTTCTGCTTGTGCTGCTTCGCCTCCAAACTGCAGTTTGATGCATCTGCAAGGAAAACGGTCCCCCCACACAACGGATGGCTGAAAGATACCAAGCCATTCTGCTAGCTGTTGTCAGCTGACAGCTTCAGCTCTGGTCTCTGTGGAATTTACTACGGGACGTCATATTCTCACAGCACACAACTGGAGGACCGCGGAGTCTGCGGCCAGTGCTAGCAGACAATTTACTTCTGAGAGAAAATAACTGGAGATTTCTGGAAATTTTAAGATATTTCTAATTCACAGACTACTTGAGTAATAGCTACGTACAAGGTAACTCAAATAAGAACTATTTTAAATAATGATTAGAGGGCTGACAGGTTTCCTAAGGGGTGGAAGCGGGGCTCCACCCTTTGTGGCCCAACAGACTGGGATCCTTTGATTTCTCATGAAAGCTATAAACCTAGGCTTAAAAAAATATGTAAAGTCACCTGAATTTTCATCACAATCAGGCATTTGAAAAGGAATTTGAAGCCTTTGCATGGACTAAACAGAAAACTTCTTTAAACCTCAAACAGCTTGTAACTACTGCTTCACACTAAGTATCATGTCTTCTTCTAAAGACTTTACAATGAGCCTTACACAAGGGTGTTCAAGAGCAAGTGAACAAAGTGAAAAACAAAACTATAGTCTTATGTGTACCTGAAAGCAAGCCCCTCAAAGACTGGCGATAAGGGAAGCTTGAAAGTCTGACAGAGGGATATGGCAGTGTCAAAGAGACCGGCCTGCACCAAGAGGGCAACCATCTCCTCCGCCGACGAGCTGCCTGTGGAGATGGAAAAGGCTCTGCAGTGCCACCGTGGAAAGACAGCATTGATACGGACACGACAAGATCTGAGGAAAAGGCAGGCTTTACCAACCCCGCGCTCCCCCACCCCCACCCACCCCCGTAGTATGTGTGCTGCTGTACTTACTGACAGGGCTGAATTCTTACCGGCAACTGCAACTGCTGATGAGTCATGCTGAGCCAAAGTGAGTCGAATGCGAGCCAAGGAACACTCTCTCTCCAGATCTGCCAGCTCTAGGATTTCAATTCGTCTATTTGCTAGGAGTCAAAGGAAAACACCTTTAATCCCCCAAGTTCAAAGGATGTGACGAGTAGATACATTCCCCTTGCCCACTTCCAGGAGACTAGACATTCAGTAGCATCCCCTTTTAATTCCAAAGGAAAGCAGCAGCACATGGCTGACCAAATGCTGAGGTGAAGCGAGGCCCAGCCTCACATGTTCGGCTCCCAGACCTCGGCCGGTGAGTCCAAGGCCCAGCAGCATCCTAGCAAGAGCTGCACCGAGGAGGCACTCACAAGGTGTTTCTGGGAAATGTTACTGACTTCTTCCCACTGGAAAGCATTGTTAGCTTTCATTAAGGAAGGCATTTGCCCATGATGAGAGGTAAAATTAGAACCCAGTCATGCCCCCTGGAGAGGCTTATACTTTTTATGGAAAGATAGCATGGCTCTCTAATAACAAATAAATAAATGAATAAAAGTAAATGTCAAAAGAACCTGATAAACGTCTGGCCCTAAACATGTACAAATGTGTTTGATACAGTTGATGTGTGGATTGTTATAAGAGCTGTAAGAGCCCCCAATAAAGTGATTAAAAAAGCCTGACACTAAGTTGATTTAATACAACCACCAACACAAACAAACACACACTCGTTTTCAGTGAGTTTCATTTCTGCAATGGCCACACAGTCTTCGAAGAACAAGCAGGTGGGGACTGAGTCTGCGCTCTCCCTTACAAAAAGAAATACCCCCCCCCATAAAATGACTATAAAAAACCAAAAAAGAACACTATCTGAACCCAAAGATAACATGACGCTGACATGTGTAACCTCACATATACATTATTCAATTATAAAGAAATCATATTTATGGGGAAAAAGGAAAAAGAAAGAAAACGATGAACAACAAAAAAGCAGGGGCCTTCTCCCCAGTGCCTTGTGAAGGACGAGGGCTGTCTGTGCCCGACTCACTTGGGGTAGCTGTGCATTCTCCATCGTGGTTCCTCTTCGGGGACGCGCCCGGGCGGTCATACTGACAAGACAAGGGAATGAATTGTGAAAAGTAGAATTATCGTTAAAAAAAACCCCACTGTATTTTAACACACAGAGTTTGGGGTTGAGGTGCAGCAAGCACATTGTGCGCCACTCCACAGCCCACACACACTCCGGCTCAGGACACCGAAGGCCATCCCCACCATGGGGGACATCCTTACCAGTGACTTGGCACCTTCATACTCGAAATTCTCTCACTATAAATTTACATACACATTTTTATTTCAAGGAGCACAGCTCTTCTTACAAAGTATTTTAACTAACGGACAAAGAAATGGGCGCATGTGACCAGTGGGCTCACTTAGCTATGAAAAGTTAAGAGTCCAAGGTACACCTTTGATCTCCATGGAGTTATTTTATTCACCCATCCCTCGGGGGGGAAAAGGTTTAGAAAATGCAGAAACCACACAATAGAATGTAGGTGGACAAATACGACCCCATCAACCTAACATAAAAAGCTCAGAGGCCACACCCCTAAAGACTGTGTACAAGTCAAACGGATTCCCGTGTACCAGCTCCTGGGTGCTGGAAATGGTGAGCACCCAGCTGTAACCAGTAGGCTGCAGACTCAAGTACCTCCTAGTAAAGGCCGCTTGATCTTCTTCCAACAAACTCAGCCACTAGAAAACCTTACAGAGCACAGTTCAACTGTTACACACATGACACTGCTGCAGGCTGGGACTGATGTGATGATGGCAACAGAAATGGTTCCAACGAGTTTACATAAAACATCTCAATTAATCCTACGATGCAGATGTTATCCTCCTCACGTCTGCTCTCTGTCAAGAGGATAATTGGACTGCAAAAGATGAGTTATCTTCCCAAAGCCAATCAGGCCTACTTCCAAGACCACCTGGCAACACAGGGAAGCTTCCCTGTAGCAATTCTGAATCTGGAAACTAACAGGGAAACGATGTGTCACCATTATCTCAAAATCCATTAAGCTCACCAACATGCCAGAGGTGATTTAAAATGAAATGGAGTCCAAATGAGGTCAGAGTTGAAAAGAGTCAATCCAATCAATTAAATGACCCCCAAACCCTAGGACGGAGTTTTCGTACCACTGCACCAGCTGCTGGCTGCACTATCCACGCATACTCGGGCCGAATGAGTCGTAAACAGTTAATAGCAGCCAGGTAACAACTGCCTTGCTTCTCCAGTCCCCGGAGAGTCCGAACCTCTCTGCCGAGACGCATCCCATATTCAAACATCACCGTGCCAGCTAGGAGGAAAGAATACATCAGATTAGGCATTAGGGTTTAAAAGTGTGATTCGTTAGCCACACCGAGACTGGATGTTATACTTAACTGCATGAAAATATAAAACTGAGTTCAGTTAACATAAAACCCACCCACCAGACGTACGATTCCTTGATTCTACCTTCCCATGCTCAGTGCAAAAACCCAGCGAGGGTGAAGAAGTCCCACTGTCACCCATGCAGAAACAAAGCCTGTGTGGACACTCTACTGGCCGCCTCTTCACAAGCTGTCACTGCTGACTGACTCAGGGACACCGGGCACAGAGGGTCACCGCTCCACGGGGTGTCCTTGACTGGCATCCCCCTAGAAGCAGATCCCCAGGCTTTTTATCTGTGGTGCCACCGGGCAGGTTCAAACCGCCAATCTCTATGTCTTTATGTTAATAACAACTGAGCACAAAACACTTCTTGTGCCACTCGGACTGACTTAAGAAAAAGTCCTCTACCACTGCCCAGCCAGGAGAAACGACTTCTTGGCACACGCTGCAATGTGGGAGACATTATGCTGAGTGCTGTCAGTTCATCACAAGAAGACAAATCTTGTATGACTCCACTGAGACAAAAAAGAAACGGGGACATATAGAGCTCAAAGGTCACTAGTGGTCACCTAGGGCAGGACAGAGGGTGAGGGGAGTTTAATGGTGATGGAAAAACGGCAACAATCCATTATTATAAAGTTGCTGCTTTTAGGTGCTGTCGAGTCTGTTCTGACTCATAGCGACTCGACGCAAATCAGAAGGAACACTGCTGTCCTCAGCCCTCCTCACAATTGTCCTGTTTGAGCCCAATTATTAGAATAGTCATCACTAAGTTGTGAGACTGGGAAAAGCCAGATTGGACACCTTCTATAAAATATGTACAACAACTACACGAGAACAGCTGTTGAGGCAGCTTATGAACCACCCAAAACCTCCAAGGGTTTGGCTCCCTCTTACGGAAGGGTCAAGTTAATTAGCCGCAGATTGTGTTTAGTGCTCCTCCTTCACTGGATTTTAAAGGCCAGTAAGCGGCTCATGGAGGAGCAATTGGTCTCTATTCACCTGGAAGAGCAAAGGAAGGAAAAGTCAGACATGGGAGGAGGATACGGAGCTTGTAGCTAATTGACTCCTGAAAAACTCTTTCGAGTGTCAGGAGACTGGAAAAAGGAACGTTACTGAATGTTTTGATCCGAGGTCTTATAGAAGGGAAAATGAAGAACAGACTTTAAACTCCCCTGCACCCCTGGTTGTCTGGCTCCACGGAGGCTCTATGAGCCCTTGGAACATCTGCCCTGCAGTCATCTTTAAACCTGACACCAGAGACAGCCCCTTACGCTTTCTGAACAATAGCGGAGCTTTATGCTCGGTTACGAACATGTCTACAGGATCAAAGTGAAAACACCACTGGAAAGATTAGACCGGGGCTTCTGGGAGCAATGCGTTTATGTCGACAGAGGAGGAACAACTCAGCAAGAGAGCACGGGGAAGCTGCACAATTCACCGAATGGAATCGGCGTCACTGAACTGTGCCGGCAGAAACGGTAGAACGGGTGCATGTCTTGCTGTGTGCACTCCCAACAAGAGAACACAGCCTCTTATTTTCAGAAGATTTTAGCTGCACACATCGAGAAAGATCTCTGAAACACATGATGTTTGGGGGCTACATAGGATTCCTAAAACTAGCATTAATTTTATTTTTCAACGAAAAAAACATTGTTTTTTATTCTAACGAATATTTTCTGAGTGTTTGCAATCAGACAGAACAGCCTTGCTCCTGAAAGACCAGAATGTTCATCTACCTAAAACTGGTCCCAATCAGGATGCTGCAGTGGAGTTTGTGATTCTGAACGCAAACTAGAGCTCTTTAATAGTATAAGGTGGGGGTGGGTTGGGGATACGTTTAAAAAATTTAGTCGAAAAATTGAATGAAAAGAAATGGATTTTTTCCCACAAGTGTTTAGAAGCCCCCTCACTCATACTTTTCTTCCTGTGTGATTTAAGAAAATAATATGCTAACCTGTTTTGTCTTTAGGAATATTAACTACGTGACTACAAGTTATCACCATCAATTCTTTCTAATGGAAATTAGCAAGAAACGAATGAAAAATTTATCCGACTAAAGTGGTACAAAATTCTAGCTGTCCAAGGCTCAAGTAGAAAATGTTTTGGGAATGATGACAACCTATGTACAAATATGCTTTATACAACTGATGTATGGAATGTTATAAGAGCCCCCAATAAAGTGATTAAAAAAAATCTAGCTGTCCCCTGGGGAACTACAAGGTATTTTGTACAATATGGCTTGGTAACAGACATGACATGCCACCCTTTTGGTGTTAGCTGTCTTGATCAAGACAGGTGAGAGCCCTGGTGATAAGGTGGGCTACATATTGGGCTGCTGACTGCAAGGTCAGCAGTTCAACACTCCCCAGTCGCTCCATGGCAATTTCTGCTCCACAAAGACTTACAGTCTCGGAAACAGGATTCCTGTGAGAATTCACCCAATGGCAGTGAACCTCTTTTTTTTGAAAAAGGTATGTCGTCATTTTACAAATCCAAACCAAGGTTTATTCAACTACAGTGACCGAATTGCACTTTAAAAAAAGGATCAATGAGATTAAACACAATGCCAAGCCAAAAGAAGTGTCCCAGAGATGAGAGAAGCCCCAGAGACAGGACCACTGAACGCAACCACCCGCCTGTGATCGCAGGCCAGGAGCTGGGGCGGGGTTGAGGCAGTACTGCAGGAATGTGTTATTAAAGACAGCGCGAGAACAAACCAACATTGTGACAATTGGCAACATTTGAATATTAACAGCACATTAGGTAACATTTAAATGCAATCTACTGATTTCCTCATTTTGATAATTACTTGGATGCTACATAGGAGACTCTCCTTAGGTGATGTGCTAAGGGGTAAAGGGGCTTTAGAATAAGGTGACCAGATTTTAACATTGTTAAAGCGGGACACCATTGATAAAACTCATATCCTGGCGAAATAGCCACGTGGCAGCCGAAAACTGTATACCCTAGCTTGTCGTGCAGTCTTTCCAAAACTCGGGACTTTTTAAAAACATCGCGGGACACCTGGTCACTTTACTTTAGAAGTTTATGCAAAGATCCCATTTTTCAGGGCTTAAGTGGAGAGCAAATGTTTTGAGAATGAGGGCAATGAATGTACAAATGTGCTTGACACAAATGATGTATGTATGGATTGTGATAAGAGTTGTCTGAGCCCCTAATAAAATGATTTAAAAAAAAAAGGATCCCATTTTTCCATCAATGGTATGAAGCCCCTTTCTAACTGACTCCTGAAGTCATGACGCGACAACCTCCTCCCGGGAAGATCAGCGTAGATGGACGGGAGGGAGGGCGGGGAGGAGGAGGAAGGCAAGGAGAGGAGGGAGCGAAACAATGGTGAGTTCAGGTGACGGACATATGGGTGTGTGCGCGATACACCTCCACTTGTCATTACGGGATCATATGAAAAGTTGTAAAGTAACACTGATTCCTCTTTAAGAATTTTACGTGGAACTGAAGGCCTGTGCCAAGTCAGCCACAGCTCACAAACGCTAACTTTTCCTACAGCGAGGCGGCACAAGCACCCGAAGGGGCTGCGTATGTTCATGGAAAATGGAATGAAAAGAAAATGGAATTTCCCCAAAGCTTTTCGCAGCCCCCTTGTATTTAAGTAGTCAGAATTTTTCTCCAAGAATTGAAATAAAGGGAGGTGGCCAATGGCAACATAGCATAGTAACACTCAGCCAACCACAGGCATTCTGAGCAGCACCTCTCGTGAACGAGCTAACGTTCCTCTGACAGTCGGATGGCCTCTGCTGTGTGCGGTTTCTGAACCACAGCGACCCCGTGTGCCTGGCTCTGCTGGATCGAGAACTCAACAGAGGCAGATGGCCAGGTGGCTGACCTGCAGAGGCCCTGGCTGCCTCGGAACTGCCAACCTTTCGGCAAACAGCAAAGTGCTTAATCATTTGCACCACCAAGGCGCTGGTGGAAAACGCCCCTAGGATCGGGAGGAAGCTCCAAAATGGCCAAGCTCATCAGGTTTGTACACTTCATGCCCCCAAATGCGAGCGAGAATACTTTGTCCAGTGGTTAAGAAAAATGGAAAACGTACATATGTCAAACACAAGAGTGATGTTTGGGGTTTTTTTTTTGTAAACTATGATTAAATCAATGAGGTTGCCCCAACAACCGTGGTGTCAGTAGCTCACCCTTTCTGTAGTTGTGGCGATAAATGTGAAAGGCATACAGAAGCTCATAGTAGTTATGAGTCATGAGATCCACAGCCCTCGCTCGTGACTCAATTATGCCGACAACCTGGGGGGGAGCAATCAGATGGCAGAGTGAGTCGCAATCTTGGCAACCAGCAGCTTTTTCCAGTCACCGGCAGGTGAAGAGAAGTACCTCATTATGCAGATTCACATAGGGAAACTCCACGAGGTCCTGGAGCTGTGAGCGTTCACAGAGCACCACCACCAGCTGCCGCAAGCAATCTAACTGCCTAGGAGAGAAAGGAGCACGATGGCAGTGAACCGTCCTCTCGGTTTAAACAAGGCTGGTACATCACCTTCTTTTAAAGCGGTGGGAGGTTACCTGCTGGAATCAGGAATTTGTGTTAAGGCCTCGTAGGCTTGGCTGTTGTGACCTAAATCCAAATGATGCTTGAAAATGCATGTTCTTAAAGTAGCCTAAAGATCAATTTGGAAAAAGCACAAAGAAATCAAAACACCACAGCTGTGACAGAGCTCCAGAACACGAGTACCACCACCTCCTCCACCATCACCATGACCATCACCACCACCACCATCACCATGGCCGTCACCATCACCACCACCACCATCACGACCTCCTCCACCACCACCACGACCATCACCACCACCTCCACCATGTGAGGGAGTTCTCACCTGACTTTTCCAGTCGTCGCCTGCTTCTGTTACGGCTGCGGTGGCCAACTGAATGACCAGCTCCGGCAGACCAACGACATCCAATAGACGCAACACCTGAGCAGAAAGAGGAGAACATGCTACAGCAAATGAGTACAGGTGCACGCCTCCAAGAAACAGATTTAAGTTTAAACGCATTACAAAGATAACTAGCCAAGATAAAGATTAAATAAATCAAAGGCTGATAACAAGCAGGAATACTTGATGCATATTTTTAGATATACTTTATTTCTTTTCCCAAATATTACCACTGAACTAATTTCTCTAGGAGACAGGCACAGTTTGCTCGCTAAGTTGCAACAAAGGCAGGTGAAGTGAAGAGATAATATGACCACCTCTTCAACAAAACTTGGATTGGATTTAATAATTGGTTAATAAATGAATGATATAGGGATTAAGTAAAGGGCTTTTAATTGCCTTTGTTCCTTCATCAGGAGTTAGAAAATAATGAAATAGCTCACAAAGATGTCAGGGTGTGGATGAGAAACTGAAGGTCCAAAACACACTGCAACACGAGGGGCTGTGAAAGGTTTACGGAAAATCCCATGATCTTTTCAACTCCCCGTGCATGTTTACTTTGTATATACTCAATCAGCCGTATCCTTATCATGGGCCCACATAAAAAACATGTTATACTTCAAAATAATGCAAACTTTGTGATAACTTAGAATCCAGAACTAAAAGGATTTTTGTATTATTCATAAAGGAAGTTAAAAACAATGATTTATCTGCCCCATCCTTATTGATGACTTTAGTATATTAGTGCACCGTGGGAGAGAGGCCCTGAGGGGCTTTGAAATGTTCATAGAAACATTCCACCATCTTTTACGTGGGCGCTCCAAAAAGTTCTCAGAAAAATAGAAAGATAAGGTTCGTGGAATGGTTCCACGAGCCTTTCGAAAGCCCTGGTATCCACTGGTAACCAGCAGCTGGAGGAAGAGTGACAAAATTATCATCATCAGCCCCAGATCTCCACGTGACTCCTTCCAGTTGCTACTGACAAACAAATCTTGACTTCCAAAAATATAGATTTGTTTGCTTTTCAAGCACATGGAAACAATTCTTTTGCTTAGTCCTGTTTATAAGCTTGATCTACCTCTAGTTACTACTTGTAGTAATTCTCCATTTCATTGCTGTGCAGGAAGAGCCCAACACTGGTACCTTATCGTAATACTGCATCCTGGGGGTGGACACCACCTCCCCCTCGTCTGAGCGGATCAAGCGATCCAAGAAATCCTCTTTGCCCACTTCAGATGCTGCCTGGCAGAAACACTCCAGAGCCTGGGGAGGGAGAGGAGAAAACAAAGTGACTTACAATGGAGTCCTCCAACTCCGGGTGCGGTAAATGGTAACTCTGGGACTCATGTGCCAAGGCGGTCAAACCCTCAACCAGCGGCTCTCAACGTCGGGGTTGAATGACCCTTCCACAGGGGTCGCCTGGCTCATAACAGCAGCAAGATTATAGTGATGAAGTAGCAATGAAAACAATTTTATGATTGGGGGTGTCACCACAACATGAGGAACTGTATTAAAAGAGTCGCGGCATTAGGAAGGTTGAGAACCACTGCTCTAAACAAAACTGTTTAAGACAGCCTACTGCACTCGCAATTTTCTGTCCTGTGTCCATTTTATCTGTTGATATGTACTGTTTTTCTTTAACTTATCACCTTACCTGACAAGTTCTATTAACTGAAAAAATAAACTATAATATGTCCCTCAAATGGGTATGAATTATTGAATGGAAAACTGATCTGCTCTGTAAACCATCACCCAGTTCACAACAAAACGCTT